CTTTCCCTCCCCCTTATAATTTGCTGCTTCCAATCTGTGTGGTCTGAGAATTTGTGAAACCAGTGTTGTTAGAAGTGTATGTAATCTGAGTCCAATAAGCTCTGCATGGTGGCCCAGGGCCTCTCTTATGGCATTAAAATACATGGACTTTGTGACAGCTCTTTCAGTGGCTTAGGAGAGCCACACAATTATGGAATCTAGAATTTTCCTGTTGGAAAGAACCTAGAAGTTGGTTTACACCAATCCCCTGGTTTTCCAACAGTGAAACAGGCCCAGAGAGGTTAAATGACTGGGTCATAATCACATAGCTGTCTGGTGCCCGAGCCAACCTAGAGTTCCCTGACCCCAAGGCCAGTGCTCATTCCACTACCTCTCACACTTCACAACATTTTCCTCAACACTTGAGGGCCCGGAAAGTCTGATCTCTCCAGAACAATGTGCCATCTGGGCCAGAAAGCAGAAAAAGAAGATGTCGCAGGGGCTTCTGAATACTTGGGAGACAGAGAAGGGATAAAAGAACATAATCCAGGGTGCACTTGTTCCCTGGGGCATCACACCTGGATTACAGTGTGCCTGGTCCTTTTGGGGGCCTTTCCCTTCCCCATTCGTTGCCACCAGTGAGAAATGGGGGTGCTCCTGTGTAAGGAAATCTAGTAAAGGTTTACATTTGCACCTTAGTCTCAATAGTTAGACACCCCAGAGAAGCAGCTAATGGAGTTCATCTGCAAACTCCTGACTCTCAGGAGAAAGGCTGTTTAAACCCAGAATTGTGAGTTGTTAACTTTAAGATGTACTTGTGAAATAGGCCATGCGAGAGAGCATTGGGTCACCTGTTACCAAGTTAAAGGAGAATAGACAATACACTACTTTGGGTTTTTGTCTTCCCTTTGCATTCAGTTTTGCTATTTCCTTGTGGCTTGGAATGTAAAATCCATTGTTAAAAAGTTTTGTTCTGAATAAATATTTATCTTTTGTATTGCTAATTCTGCTGCGCTATTTCCTTTCAAAGTATTAGATGCATGGGTACACAGACCCTAGTTCAATGTGCTTCCTCCTACACACCACTTGTTTACCCTGCACATACAGCTCCAGCCCCTGCAGGCCAGCACTTAGCACCTCCCCTGTGGAACCAGGCCCTTTGGAGTTGCTCCCTAAACCCAGTGTGCTAATCACTTAACTCAAGTTTGAAGTCCCTAACTCGGCTCCAAAGAATCGGAATCACTGGAGCGAGGGAAACATTTTCAGCAAGCATCCCCAAGCAGTTCTGACGAGGGGGCCGTTTTGAGAAGCACAGTGCCGAATGGTACAAAAATGAGTGAGAGGGACTCTGTCCTTGAGAAATTACAAACTAGTGGGAGGACAGGGAAGATGTCCGTTTCGTCATCTTACAGTTCTAAGTGCCAGGAACTGAATGCAAAGTATTCATGGGCTTTTTTAAAATGCCATCTCGTCTAGCTGTAAGGGAGGAAGAGAGAGTCCAAGGACTCTTGTGCAGAGAGCTGACTCAGACCTCCAAACTGATCTAATGCTGGAGATTCCCTCTCCTAACCCCAGCCCCAAACCTCTGAAGGACTTCCCAGCTCTGAGATGGTATGATCCTTAGAAAGTTCCCAGTGCATTGTTTCTCTGAGTCAGTGCTTTCAGGATATTTCCAGAGCTGATCTGGTGTCGTTGGGGCCTGGTTGGCTCTGGGGGAACCCTTTTTTTCAGAGCCAGCTCAGCCCCTCTCCTTCCTGTCTCCCAAAGCAAACAGACCGTTCCCTCCTGGATTCCTCCCTCTTGTTCTCTCCCTCCCCCTCATCTCTCTCTTCTCTGCCTTGCATTCTCCTCCCTCCCAGCGCTTAGAGGCCAGTGGGCAGGAGAAAGCCTGCATTCATCAGGCTCCCCTCCCCCTTCTTCCTGGCGGGCACTGTGCCAAGGAGCCTCTTAGGAAGGATCTTCCCTCTCCCCGCCCCTCCCCGCAACTCTCCTGGAGGGAGCGGAGGAAGAAACTTTCCCTGCCCATCCCCCACAGAATCCGCTCCAGGGCCTCCTGCCTAGCGTTCTGGGGCTGGAGCCAAGGGTTGGAGCGGAACAAACCTCCCCCAGCTTCCTCTCCCCAGCTAGCAGCCCCCAAATTACAATTCCTCACTGTTCATGGGCTCCAGGGGAGTGTGCTGAGATCCTAGACTGAGGCTGGCAGACTAGCAGCCAGGCCCCGTGCAGGGCGCTGCCCTGCATATACCCATGAACAAGACAGTGCACTTGCAGAAGGAGATACAGATAAGTAACAAGCAATTTTAAAAATAATGAGTGCTTTTAAATACTTGGGGGTGGGGGGGATACAAAACGTACAGAATTGTGTGAAGTACAAGTTTCCTAGCAGAGATGATGTCTCCCCTAAAACCTGCAGGATGAATAAGAGCCAAGTACAGAGGGAAGAGATATCCAAGCGCAGAAACAGCCTGTGCAGAGACCTGGAACACACAGCATGTTCAGTCTGGGAAGTCAGAGGAGATGTGGTTGGAAAAATGCCAAGAGGAGGTGGCACGTCCCTTGTCAGTGCTATTTAAGAGGTTTGATTTTGTCTTAACGCCCTGTTGTCTGGCCACCTCCATTCCATTCATTCATTCAACATGCCATGTTAGGCACTAACTCTTTCTAGGCAATGGAATAAAACAAAATAGTCAAGTCCCCTGGGGCTCAAATTCCAGAATCACGCAAATAGGTACATTAATTACAAACTATGATAATACATTCAAAGAAACATGCAGGGATATCGTGTTTAACAAGGAAAACTGATCTGCTCTTAGGGGTCAGGGATAGCAACCCAGAGGACATGTTTGAACTGAGATTGAAAGGATATATAAGGAGTTAATTGAGAGATGGGGCAAGGGTAAAGGGATGACGGGTATTAGTCTAGACCAGGGGTGGGCAAACTTTTTGACTCGAGGGCCACAATGGGTTCTTAAACTGGACCGGAAGGCCGGAACAAAAGCATGGATGGAGTGTTTGTGTGAACTAATATAAATTCAAAATAAACATCATTACATAAAAGGGTATGGTCTCTTTTTTTTTTAGTTTATTCATTTCAAACGGGCCGGATCCAGCCCGACCAGTTTGATTCCCAGGCAGGGCACATGTCTGGGTTGCAGGCTCGATCCCCAGTAGGGTTGTGCAGGAGACAGCTGATCGATGTTTCTCTACCATCAATGTTTCTAACTCTCTATCTCTCTCCCTTCCTCTCTGTAAAAAATCAATAAAATATATTTTTTAAAAAAAAGAACCCATTGTGGCTCTCGAGTCAAAAAGTTTTCCCACCCCTGCCATAGAGGATGTCTAAGAGAAGGTGCAGAATAGGTGGTTCAATATGCACCGTCTTAAATTCTAAGAAAAGTACTGGGCTTGAGAAATAAACATACATGAGTCTTGTAACAATAGCTTTCACACTCCTTATCTACCCCCCACATTAATATGTACTTTTTACCTTGCAGCCATCAGAGACATGTATGCATGTGTGTGCTTATATATTTTAAAAAACAGTATGTAAACGATATATATCAGGGGTGGGAACGTCTGGCCCACGGGCCATATAAGGTTCAAGAAATAATTTGGTCTGGCCCTACCAAGGTGAGTTAATTAAATGTTTGACCAAATATAGCCAGCTAATTTTTAAGTTAATAATTTTGTATGTACCGCGAATTATGTTATAAATCCAAATGGCCCTTGGCAGAAACAAAGCTCCCCCACCCTTGATATATATATAATACTAACCTGTGGGTAGTGCACCCTGATTTTTTTTTTTAAATCCTAACCCCAGGACATGCTTAGAGGAGGAGGAGCAGGGGCGAGAAATATTGATGTGAGAGAAAAACGTTGATCTTGGTTGCCTTACATACACTTCCCCATTAGGGATCAATCCCGCAACCCAGGCATGTATCCTGACTGGGAATCAAACCAGCAACTTTTCAGTGCAAGAGGTAGGACGATGCTTAACCAACTGAGCCAATCTGGGTGGGTACCCTGATATGTTTTTTTATTCGATTGCTTTATTGTTTTTTAAATACTTATATGACCCATTAAATTTATTTTACAATCTCCTAATGGGTCATGAGAGAAAGCAGAGGGGAGAAAAATTATAGCAACTTGGATTGTGCCTTAAGCAACTCTGTGTGAGCGTTTCCCCTGATGGAAAAGGGCATCGTGACAAACGAATAAGGGACAGCCAGGAAGGGAGAAGGAAAACAAAAGTGTAAAGACTTATAAACAGGGAGAAAAGTTACAAGGGGCAGGAATTAACTGTATTGAGTGCTGCAAGAGGTCAAGTAAGACTGACTGAGAAATGTCAGAGAATTGAAGAGTACCCATTGGATGGAGTAATGTAGAGGTTATTGGCGAGGGCCTTTTTATTATTTTTTTAAATATATTTTATTGATATTTTACAGAGAGGAAGGGAGAGGAATAGAGAGTTAGAAACATCGATGAGAGAGAAACATTGGTCAGCTGCATCTTGCACACTCCCCACTGGAGATGTGTCCGCAACCAAGGTACATGCCCTTGACCAGAATCAAACCTGGGACCCTTTAGTCCGGAGGCCAAGGCTCTATCTACTGAGCCAAACCGGTTAGGGCAGCGAGGGCCTTTTAGAGTAGAATGACGGGAGCAGGAGACAGACTAAGGAACAACTAATCTTCCTAATTTCAGTCAATTCAACTCCTTTTACAGAAGGCTCCTGGGCTCCTTTGAGACCTCATGCTCAGCCAGAGTGCCGATTACATCTCCTCATGTCAGTGCAGGTGCGGCAGCCAGCGGAGTTCAGGATTGTGGAGTAAGGAGTGGCGTATGATGAGTGGTGGTCAGATCATACCAAGTTGAAAGTGGCGTTCCATGGGAGTGTATCAGGCTGTGAAAAACCAATGAATCCATCCATACAGCACTATTTGCTGGCTTGTCAGTGTAACTAAGAATATTTGGGGAGGACAGG